GACTACCGGGAGTCCTTGGATTCGTTTCGGAGCGTAATTATGAAAAAGTTTTCAGTTTGTGAAATTGTGTGCCGGCATTATCATTAAACAGCTGTTAAAAACTAATAGACTATGGGGATTTTACACGCGATGAGTTCAGTTAATTAGCTGGGAAATTTTCATTAGTGAGTTGCCTAAAAGTAGGCAACATTTTCTATAGATAGCAAAGGAAACACCACATCATACGGGAAAAAATATATATAAGGATTGCTTTAAGGAACATTATACCACAAAATCTGGATTTTTTTCAGGATTTTTTAAGGATCTTCAGACCACAAAACTTGGATTGTTTAAATAATTTTTGGAAAGATTTTTTTAAGTAAATTTTTTTAGAGAGAAAAAAAAATAAAAAAATAATTATTTCAACAATTTAGAACCTATTTTGTAAGATTTTTTTTAAGTCTGGAAATTTTGTTTCTTTGGAGACTTGTGGTGAAATTTGGTGTAAAAAATATTTGTCATTGGCAATCATTTTCGAAAATTAATTTTGGGCCACTTTTGGCCGACTATATATAAGGATCCCAAGTTAGACCCAAATAATATTTTTACTCTTTTACTCTTAAATATCCGATATTTGAGGGGTATATGTTATATCTACCGATTCTGTTTCTTTGGAGACTTATAGTAGAATTTGCTCTAGAATATTTTTGTCATTGACATCAAAGCTCTAAAATGAAGTGTTACACCATTTTTGACCAAAATTGAAAAAATATACTAAAATGGACCCAAAATAAACTAATATTTTTATTTTCCCAACTTGATGACTTTATTTTGTTATTAAACATTTAATATACCGACATACCTTCTTTGGAGACTCCTAGTGAAATTTAATGTAGATTAAATTCTCCATTGACATCTATTGAAAAAAATTGTGTCTTGTTGAATTTTTGGGCGATTTTTGAAAAAGGTCTAAAATTACGCTGCAAAAAATGTAGTCAAATTGAACTAAATTTTTTATTATTAAATATTAAATGAAGAGACTCCATTTCTTTGGAGACTTGTGGTAAAATTTGATGTAGAGCATATTCGCCATTGACATTTAGAACGTAAACTGAGGTCTTGTGGGAGTTTTGGGTAAAAATTTAAAAGGGATTTGAAAATAGACCCAAAAAATTTGTTGTTTTATATTCTCATTTTAGAATCGATTTATATTGCTTTGTGATATATTTACAGATTTTGTGTAATTGGAGACTAATAGTAAAATTTGATGTAGAATATATTTTTCTTTGCAACTGATCTTCTAAAATAAAGTCTTGAGGGAGTTTTGGCCATGAATTAAAAAGTGGTCTTAAGTTAGACCCAAAAAATTATTTTTTTTTATTTTCTAATTGAGAACCCTTTTTTTTATAGATTTTTATTATTCTAACAGATTTTTTATTTAAGAGAATTATAGTGAAATTTGACATAAAATATAGTCTCCTTTAATATCAGTCTTCTAAAATTAAGTCTTATGGCACTTTTGAATAAAATAATTGATTGTCTTTAAAAATATATTTTAATAATCCACCAAATTCGGCCCTTGAAAAAATTCATTAAAAAATCCAAGTTCGGCCCTTGAAAAAATTCATTAAAAAAAATCCAATTTCGGCCCTTGAAAAAATTCATTAAAAAAATCCAAATTGGGCCCTTGAAAAAATTCATTATAAAATCCAAGTTCGGCCCTTGAAAAAATTCATTAAAAAATCCAAATTGGGCCCTTGAAAAAAAAAAAATCTTTAAAAAATCCAAATTGGGCCCTTAAAAAAATACTAATTGGGCCCTCGAAAAAAAATCTTTAAAAAATTCAAATTGGCCCTTAAAAAACGTTAAAAAACACTAATTGGGCCCTTGAAAAAAATCTTTAAAAAATCCAAATTGGGCCCTTGAAAAAAAAAAATCCACGTTTGGCCCTTAAAAAAATTCTTTAAAAAATCCAAGTTTGGTCCTTAAAAAAATTTATTAAAAAAGTCCTTAGAAAAATTTATCCAAAAATCCACGTTTGGTCCTTAATTTTTTTTTTTTAAAATCCAAGTTTGGTCCTTAATTTTTATTTAAAAATCCACGTTTGGTCCTTAATTTTTTTTTAAAAATCCACGTTTGGTCCTTAAATTTTTTTTTAAAAATCCACGTTTGGTCCTTAAATTTTTTTTAAAAATCCACGTTTGGTCCTTAAATTTTAAAAATCCACGTTTGGTCCACGTTTGGTCCTTAAATTTAAAAATCCACGTTTGGTCCTTAATTTTTTTTTTTTAAATCCACGTTTGGTCCTTAAAAAAATATATTTAAAAATCCACGTTTGGTCCTTAAAAAATATATTTAAAAATCCACGTTTGTTCGTCAGATGGTCCTTGAAAAAAATTGTTTAAAAAATACACGTTTGTTGGTCAGATGGTCCTTGAAAAAAATTGTTAAAAAAAATTCTTTAAAAAAATCCACGTTTGATCCTCAAAAGAATTTCTTAAAAAATCCACGTTTGTTGGTCAGATGGTCCTTGAAAAAAATTCTTTAAAAAAATCCACGTTTGATCCTCAAAAGAATTTCTTAAAAAATCCACGTTTGTTGGTCAGATGGTCCTTGAAAAAAATTCTTTAAAAAAATCCACGTTTGATCCTCAAAAGAATTTCTTAAAAAATCCACGTTTGTTGGTCAGATGGTCCTTGAAAAAAATTCTTTAAAAAAAATCCACGTTTGATCCTCAAAAGAATTTCTTAAAAAATCCACGTTTGTTGGTCAGATGGTCCTTGAAAAAAATTCTTTAAAAAATCCACGTTTTTAATCTTGAGGTCCTTGAAAAAAATTCTTTAAAAAATCCACGTTTATTAATCTTGGGGTCCTTAAAAAAAATTATTTAAAAATCCACGTTTGGTCCTTAAAAAAATTTATTTAAAAATCCACGTTTGGTCCTTAAAAAAATTTATTTAAAAATCCACGTTTGGTCCTTAAAAAAATTTATTTAAAAATCCACGTTTGGTCCTTAAAAAATTTTACCTAAAAATCCACGTTAAAAAAATTTATTTAAAAGTCCACGTTTGGTCCTTAAAAAATCCACGTTTGGTCCTTAAAAAAATAATTTAAAAATCCACATTTGGTCCTTAAAAAAATTTATTCAAAAATCGACTTTTGGTCCTTAAAAAAATTATTTAAAAATCCCCGTTTGGTCCTTAAAAATTGGCATTTGAAAATCTACGTTTGGTCCTTACAAAATTTTATTTAAAAATCCACGTTTGGTCCTTAAAAATTTTACTTAAAAATTCACGTTTGGTCCTTAAGAAAATTTATTTAAAAATCCACGTTTGGTCCTTAAAAAGATTTATTTGAAAATCCACGTTTGGTCCTTAAAAAATTTATTTAAAAATCCACGTTTGATCCTTAAAAAAATTACTTAAAAATCTACGTTTGGTCCTTAAAAAATCCACGTTTGGTCCTTAAAAAATTCATTTAAAAATCCACGTTTGGTCCTTAAAAAAATTTATTTAAAAATCCACGTTTATTAATCTTGGGGTCCTAGAGAAAAATTCTTTAAAAAAAATCCACGTTTATTAATCTTGGGGTCCTTGAAAAAAATTCTTTAAAAAATCCACGTTTATTAATGTTGGGGTCCTGAGAAAAATTCTTAAAAAATCCACGTTTATTAATCTTGGGGTCCTTGAGGAAAAATTCTTTAAAAAATCCACGTTTATTAATCTTGGAGTCCTTGAGAAAAATTCTTTAAAAAATCCACGTTTATTAATCTTGGGGTCCTTGAAAAAAATTCTTTAAAAAATCCACGTTTATTAATCTTCAGGTCCTTGAGAAAAATTCATTAAAAAATCCACGTTTATTAATCTTCAGGTCCTTGAGAAAAATTCATTAAAAAATCCACGTTTATTAATCTTCAGGTCCTTGAGAAAAATTCTTTAAAAAATCCACGTTTATTAATCTTCAGGTCCTTGAGAAAAATTCTTTAAAAAATCCACGTTTATTAATCTTGGGGTCTTTGAAAAAAAATCTTTAAAAAAATCCACGTTTATTAATCTTGGGGTCCTTGAAAAAAATTATTTAAAAAACACACTTTTATTAATCTTGGGGTCCTTGAGAAAAATTCTTTAAAAAATCCACGTTTATTAATCTTGGGGTCCTTGAAAAAAATTCTTTAAAAATCCACATTTATTAATCTTGGGTTCCTTGAGTAAAATTCTTTAAAAAATCCACGTTTATTAATCTTCAGGTCCTTGAGAAAAATTCTTTAAAAAATCCACATTTATTAATCTTGGGGTCCTTGAGACAAATTCTTTAAAAAATCCACGTTTATTAATCTTGGGGTCCTTGGGAAAAATCCTTTAAAAATCCACGTTTATTAATCTTGGGGTCCTTGGTAAAAATTCTTTAAAAAATCCACGTTTATTAATCTTAGCGTCCTTCAGAAAAATTCTTTAAAAAATCCACATTTATTAATCTTGGGGTCCTTGAGAAAAATTCTTTAAAAAATCCACGTTTATTAATCTTGGGGTCCTTGAGAAAAATTTTTTAAAAAATCCACGTTTATTAATCTTGGGGTCCTTGAAAAAAATTCTTAAAAAAATCCACGTTTATTAATCTTGGGGTCCTTGAGAAAAATTTTATTTTTATTCCCAAAAACATTGCCTAATTTTAGGCGTCTCTAACAAATATTTCAATTGTTTTTATTTATTTTAATGGGATAAAAGTTACAGCTATTTACAGGCATTTCAATTAAAAATAGTATATTTTTTTTAATTATATATACATTAAAATTATTTTTCTTATAACAAAAAATTAAAAAAAAATTATACAAAATAAAATTTAACTATTTTTTATTAACTATTTTTTTTTTGACATAACAAAATTTACCGTTTACCACTTAAAGACAACATTTTCAATATTTTTTTTTTTTTTGTTTAACAATATTTAACAGTCACTAGATTTTGCTTATAACAAAAAATGGTATATAAAAACTATTAAATATATATTTTTATTTTTTTTTCCTATTATTTATGAAATACTATTTTCAGAAGCCGTATGACTGGGGCCTCAAAGGCCACCGATATGAAGAAGGCGGCTATGAACGACACAACGGCATTGCCGAAAAAGATGACGGTTATAAAAATGGCATTCAAATGAATGGTGCCATCCATTTGATAGCCGGTGATTAGCATTATAACGGGATGTATGAGATAGGCACAATAGGTGAGGCGCGACAGGGGCCAAAGGCAGCGATAGGAGAGTATGCGATTCAGGGTGGGTGATAAATTCCAACAGCATGACAGCACAAGCCATATGAGAGCGGCACCAAAACCTGTAACACAAAAATAAGGGAAAAATTAAGAAAAACAACAACACCAACAACAACAATGTGCCAAATTCCTACACACCTGTGTGAGCTATGCTAACATAAAATGCCGTGGATACCTCGCTCAGCTCCCCCTGCCACACGCCACAAATTATGAGAATTAATAAGCCAAAACTCAATGAGCACAGCAAGGCATTCAGGCGTCCCGAAACTTTGGGTGCTGTACGCACTTTGCTCATAATATAACCGGTTAACATACCTGCAGGGTGAGAAAAGGGGAAGGAAGGTGTTTTATAAAATTAAATATAAACCCATTAGCATTTCAAAGTTACCCATGATATAGGGGCCCACTCTCTGCCAGGGTTTGTCATACAAAAAGTCAAAGGACTCAAAGGGATTGGAGACCTTGTGGGTGTAGTGGTAGCGCAGTGATATCATGCCCGACACCGCCCAGGAGGAGGCCAAAAATGTGGCCAAAGTTAGCAAGACGGCCTTGGAATATCTGAAAAAAGAAACAGAAAAAATTACAATTCCCATAAACCGCCAGTTTGACTTGTGTCCTCCCTCCTCTCACCTGGTGGAGAACATCAGCAGTATGGAGGCCATAATGAAGAACTGCATATCATTTGCCATATACCAACTCCAAATCATGCAAATCTCACTCAGCGGATAGAAATTGTTGATGAACAAAATGTTGCGCCACCAGTATTTGCCACAAGTGTTGGGTGGCACGGTTGGCTGGAACACCGAATTGTCAAAGGTTTGTCTAAAAATAAATAAAAAAATGGAGGAAAGAGGAAACGGATTAAAAAATGATTTGTGACAAATTGTGTTTGTGTTTGAGTTTTGCGGTAGATAAAACACACACACACACAAACAAACAATCAATTCTAAGCATGATTGATTGATATTTGTATTGACTTGATTTAGGGTTCATTTAAAACACAAGATTGATGGGTTTATTCATAACAGGGTCATAAGGGCGTATGATTATTGGCGGTAATCATACGCTCCAATGGATTTCTTTTGAAAATTATGGATAATGGAAATTGGGAGCCCACTCTAGCTCCAGCGAAAAATTCAAATGATAAGGTAAATTTTTTCTGTTAAGGAAAAATATATTCCGGAAAAATTCGTTATTTAAAATGTATTTATTTATACCCAGTTTGATACCCATTTTTTCTTGATCCATGTCATAGCTACAGATTTCATTTCCTCAGTGACTTATAGTGAAATTTGATGGAGAATATTTTCTTCTTTGACACCATTTTCAAAAAATTACGTTTTACATGATATTTTGGGTCAAATTTAGAAAAACGTTAGAAATCGACCAAAAATGACACATTGGTATGCCAAAATTGAATTTGCTATTTCAGGGTTATGTATCGAATTTACGGATTTCTTTTGCATGGTGACCCATAGTGAAATTGCCTGCGGAATATTTTTTCCATTGACAGTTTTCCCCTAAAGTAAAGAGAATCGGGAGATTTTGGTTCATAGTCAGACGTATACCAAAATGAAACCTTAAAATCTTGTCTAGAAACATACCAAAATTGATGCATCAGTTTGACTGAGATATTGCACAGATACAGAATCTTGGTCTTTGGTGAGTTATAATAAAATTTGATGGAGAATATTTTTTCCTTTAATATCATTTCCAAAAAAGTAAGTTTTACATGATATTTTGGGTCAAATTCAGAAGAAATGTAAAAATCGACCAAAAAATGACACATTGGTATGCCAAAATTGAATGTTCTATTTTTGGGTTATATATTGAATTAACAGATTTCTTTTGCATGGTGACCCATAGTGAAATTGTCTGTGGAATATTTTTTCCATTGACAGTTTTCCTCTAAAGTGAAGAGAATCGGGAGATTTTGGCTCATAGTCAGTCATATTCCAAAAATGAAACCTTAAAATCTTGTCTAGAAACATACCAACATTGATACACCTGTTTGACTGATATATTGTACAGATACAGAATTGTGGTCTTTGGTGAGTTGTAATAAAATTTGATGGAAAATATTTTTTTCTTTGATATCATTTCAAAAAAATTGAGTTTTAAGTGATATTTTAGGCAAATTTAAAAAAACTTTACAAATCGACCACAAAATGACACATTGGTATACCAACATGAATCATGATATTTATGGGTCACGTATCAAATCTACAATTTTCTTTTTCAAGGTGACTCATAGTGAAATTGTCTGCGGAATATTTTTTTCATTGACAGTTTTCCCCTAAAGTGGAGAGAAGTGGGAGATTTTGGGCCATGTTCACACTTAATTTCAAACTATCAAAAAATTTTTTTTTTTTTTTTTTTTTTGTCAGACCCAATTTTGTGGGTGTGTTTGACTGATATATGGTGCAGATACAGAATCTTGGTCTTTGGTGAGTTATAATAAAATTTGATGAAGAAAATTTTTTCCTTTGACATCATTTCCAAAAAAATTAAGTTTTAAATGATATTTTGGGTCAAATTTAGAAACACTTTACAAATCGACCAAAAAATGACACATTGGTATACCAAAATGAAACATGATATTTTATGGTCACGTATCAAATTTACAATTTTCTTTTTCAAGGCGACTCATAGCCAAATTGTCTGCGGAATATTTTTTCCATTGACAGTTATCCCCTAAAGTGGAGAGAAGTGGGAGATTTTGGGTCATGTTCACACTCAATTTCAAACTAAGTCCAAAAAATCTTTTTTTGTCAGACCCAAATTTGTGGGTGTGCTTGACTGATATATTGTGCAGATACAGAATTTTGATCTTTGGTGAGTTATAATGAAATTTGAAGGGGAACATTTTTCCCTTTGACATTATTTACCAAAAATAAAATATTACTTGAAAATTTGGGTCAAATAAAGAACAAATAATAAAAAATAGAATAAAAATTTTATTTTTGTGTACCAAAATTGAACATGGTTTTTCAGGCTCACATATCGAATTTTCAGATTTCTTTTGCAAGGTGACCCATAGTGAACTTGTCTGCGGAATATTTTTTTCATTGACAGTGTTCCCCTAAAGTGGAGAGAAGTAGGAGATTTTGGCCTATGTTCACACTTAATTCAAAATTATGTCTAAAAAAATCTTTTTTTTTGTCAGATCCAAATTAGTGGATGTATTTGACTGATATATTTTACAGATACAGAATCGTATTCTTTGACGGGTCACTACAGAATTTGATGGAGAATATTTTTCCCTTTGACATTATTTACCAAAAATTAAATATTATTTGAAATTTTGGGTCAAATTGAAAAATAGACCAAAAAATTTTTATTTTGGTATACTAAAATTGATTATGGCATTTCAAGCTCAAATATTGCATTTTTATATTTCTTTTGCAGGGTGAACCATAGTGAAATTGTCTGCGGAGTATTTTTTTCATTGACAGTTTTCATCTAAAGTGGAGACAAGTAACAGTTTTGGCCCAAGGTTGAAGTACAATAAAAATTTTACCAAAATATTCACTTTTTTAAACTATACCAAAATTGATGAGGATTTTTAACTGATATATTGTATAGGTGCAGAATCTTGGTTTTCGGTGACATATAGTGGAATGTTCTGTAGAACATCTTTTCGTTCTACACCAGTTATCAAAAATAAAATAAAACATAATATTTTGGGTCAAATTGAGAACAAATGGAAAAATGGACCAAACATTTTATTTTTATATACCAACAATTAATTTGGTATTTCATGCTCATATATCAGATATAGAGATTTCTTTTACAAGATGACCCATAGTGAAATTATCTGTAGAACATCTTTCTCATTGACACTTTTCCCCTATACCATAGATAAGTTTGTGTTTTCGACCAAAAGTTGGATTATTATATTAAATAGCACAAAAATGACTTTTTCAAACATTCCCAAATTGATAAACGTTTTTGAGTGCTATACGGTAACGATACAGATTTTCATATTGAGGTTACTCATAGTGAAATTTCATGGAAAATATTTTTTCTTTTTGCAACAATTCTGAAAAATTCAGTTTGGTACGAATTTTTGGGCCAATTTCAAAAATTCCGAAAAACGTTCAAAAATTTAATTTTTTCATACCAAAATGAATATTGATATTAAAGGGTTATATAAATAAGCTACAAATTTCCTATGTATGGTGACCTATAGTGGAATTCTATGTAGAATATTTTTTTCCTTCACACCTCTCCCTTAAATTAAAGAGATGAGGGAGTTTTGAGTCGAAATTCAGGCTCAAGTCGAAAAATCATGTTTGTGGAATATCCCCAAATTGGCATTTGAATTTGACTGATATGTGGTACAGGTTCATTGATAAGTATTCATAAAAATGCCGAAATATAGGAAATTTTGGAGTAAAGTCAAAAATGTCTAAAATATAATTCTGAAAAATTCAGTTTTGTACGAATTTTTGGGCCAAAATCAAAAATACAGAAAAATGTCCAAAAATTTAATTTTTTTATACCAAAATTAATATTGATATTTAAAGGTTATATAAATAAGCTACAAATTTCCTATGTATAGTGACCTATAGTGGAATTCTATATAGAATATTTTTTGCCTTGACACCTCTCTCCTAAATTACAGAAATTTGGAGTTTTGATCAAATCAAGTCGAAAAATCACGTTTTTGGAATTACCCCCAAATTGGCACTGAAATTTGAGTGATATGTGGTACAGGTACATAAATTTGTACTTTAGCGACCCATAGTAAAATTCGAAGTAGAATATTTCTTTCATTGATAAGTATCCCCAAAAATGCCGAAATCTATGAAATTTTGGGGTATATTCAAAAGTGTTCAAACAATTTTTTTTTGATTTTATATAAAATTCCCGAATTGGTAGAGGAATTTGAGTGCTATACAGTAACGATACAGATTTTCATATTGAGGTGACTCATAGTGAAATTTCATGGAAAATATTTTTTCTTTTTGCAACAATTCTGAAAAATGAAGTTTTGTATGAATTTTTGGGCCAAACTCAAAAATACTGAAAAATGTCCAAAAAAAATATTTTTTTTTTCATACCAAAATGAATATTGATTTTTAAAGGTTATATGTATAAGCTGCGGATTTCCTATGCATGGTGACCTATAGTGGAATTCTATATAGAATATTTTTTGCCTTGGCACCTTTCCTCTAAATCCCAGAAATGTGGGAGTTTTGGGCCCATATTCAGTTTAAGTACCAAATTAAGTCGAAAAATCGCATTTGTGAAATATCTCCAAATTGGCACTGAAATTTGAGTGATATGTGGTACAGGTACACAAATGTGTACTTTGGTGACCCACGGTAAATTTCGAAGTAGAATATTTCTTTCATTGATAAGTATCTCCAAAAATGCCGAAATCTATGAAATTTTGGCGCAAATTCAAAAATGTACAAATTATTTTTTTTTTTTGATCAAAATTAATATAGATTTTTTAAGGTTATATTTATAATCTACAGATTTTTTTCGTATGGTGACCTGTAGTAGAATTCTATATAGAAAAAAAACTACTCATATTAGCCCGATATTTGTCCAATTTTATTCTTGAAATATATTCCTTCCCCAATTTTTTTTAGTACTCACCTCGTTGCAAAATCATTGAAAAAGATCACAAACAAATATGTGGGCGTCAGGCGTATATAACGATAGATAATCACAATGGATGTGTCCACAAAGCCTTTCTTCATAAATTGGCCAGTTCGATCGGGCACCTTACGTTCTTGTTTCAGATATAGCAACGTAACCAAGAAGCCGCTGATAAAGAAGAATGTATCCACCGAGAAAGTGGCATTGCCAACAAATTGATACCATAGGGTGCGTTCGGTTATGATGCGAGTGAACTGGAAGGAGATGAAAAAAAAAAAAATTAAAATTATTTTAAAAATAATAATAATATTTAATAATAAAAAAATAATTTAAAAATAATATTTTAAAAATAATATATAATTAAATAATTAAAAAATAAGAAAATACTCGAAGAAAATACTTCTTTTTTTCTCATTTCCACTTAAAAAAAGACATTTTAAAGAACACAGACGGTGGCGTATGATTTACGACAGCACGTATACGCCTCCTCTTTCATGATCTAGCAAAGGTATGCAGTGGCGTATGATTTACGACAATAATCATACGCTACAGTAGTCTAGAGTTTGTCATTTTTTTAGCCAAATGATATGAAACACTTCAGACTGCGAATGATTTATGCATTTAGACCCAAAATATGATTCCCCTTTGAAAATATACTCAGGGTGAGATAAAAAAACTGCAACGAAGTCAAATGCCATAGTTTTTATATTTTTTTTAATTTTATTGAAGGAAAGCAAAAAATATCGGAAATACCATCAAATTTTAGAATAAGTTTAGATTTGTTCGAATTGATCACCTTTGGCACGAATTATGGCCTTCAAACGGCCAATGAAACCGTCACAAGCTGTCCGAATGTTGCTCTGCGGTATTTTGGCCCATTCCCGGCGAAGCGCTTGCTTGAGATGATCGACTCTTTGTTAGTTTTTAGTGTCAACCTTACTTTCCAAAAAATTCTCCAGACACAATAGTCCAAGGGATTGGTATCCGGAGATTTTGGTGGCGCCATTGTGTGCTGGAAATGAAGCAAGGAACCTCATTTTGTAATTATTCTTGGGTGGCGCGTGCTGAGTGCGATGGTGCTGAGTGCTGTTGGAATTTCTAAGGTCTGCGGCCAAGATGTTTGCGTGCCCAAGGCTCTAATACACCCTCCAGAATATTTTCACGGTGCCTTCCAAAATACTCCAGATAAAATAGTCCAATCGATTAGTATCCAGAGATTTGGCGGCCATTGTGCGCTGGAAATGAAGCGAGGAACCTCCTTTTGTAACCATTCTTGGGTGGCGCGTGCTGAGTGCGAGTCCTGTTGGAATGTCCAATGTCTGCGGCCTTAATAAACCCTCCAGAATATTTTCACGATAATATTCGGCATTTATTCTGATGCCACGGTCGATTAATAAGAGCGAGAGCGACCATCGGCTGTTATGGCGGCCCACATCATCACCGTGGCCGGCGCTTGAGTTCTGGTGGCCACATTTTCAGCTGACCTCTTTGGCAAGTAAACAGGATCATTTTGTTTGTTTACAGACGAATGTTTTCTCATCGGATAAAACCAAATTCGGCAGTTCACCACTTTCGGCCAAGCGAAGAAATTCTTTAGCTCTTTTGAGTCTATTTTCTTTCAGTTGCGGTGTAAGTTCTTGCACTTTTTGGAATTTCAATGGCTTTACCCCGCCCGATCTCATTTTTCTATATTTTCGGAATGCAATATTGCGATATGTTCAGCTCACGAGCCATTTTTCGCCCACTGCGACGTGGGTTTCGATCAAGTCGTTTCTTTACATTTCGAACCATATCTGCTGATGTTGCTGTTTTTTTTTTTTCGTCCACTTCTTTGACGTCGGGCTACGCTACAAGTATCACCTTCACGTAAAGACCCATGGTACAACACACAAAAAATGTATTCACATTTAAATGCTGGAGTGCTCTAACGATACCCACTTGTGGTTTTCCAGCCAAATATAGCGAAATCACACTATCACGCCGGAATTCCATCACAAATAACTTTTTTTCTGGAAAATTCTCAGCAAAATTCTTTTGTACGCTTGTAAACAATATAATGAACTGTCACTGAAATAAGTTTAACAGCTGTCGGACGAGTGGCTTAGAAATGACAGCAGTCTGAAATTGGTTGCATTTTTTTCATCTCACCCTGAATTTGGACTAAAAATATGATTTCCATTTTTAGATGTGTGAAAATTCATAAAAAATTATAAATAAAATATTTTAAAATAAAGTGTTTTGAAAATATATTTATTTTCCATACATTTCTACTTAAATTTAAAGAAACAAGCAACGCATATGGTGGCGTATGATTCACAACATCGCTTATACGCCACATTTCCCATGATTCAGCCAAGGCAACGGGTTGCGTATAATCTACGACAGTAATCATACGCTACAGTGTACTTAAATCATATTACATGTTATTAGACAAATATTAGGAGACTTTAAGCCCTCTGGGGAAACTAAAAAAAACTCTTCATTCTGCTGTCTGTCTACTCAAAATATTTGTCTTCCTTTTGTCACTTTTTCTTGGAAAAAATAAAACTTTGCATCACTCCTTCTAATAACATTAACATAGAATCACATACGCAAATATTTCCATAGCATTTTTTATATGTTCCGGCAACTTATAACGGAAACTACAAACATCTTGCACATTTCCGGCTTAAGGTTGTATTTTTTTGATGATACAAATTTTTCTTCGCTTTATATTTTTTTCTCAAAAAAAAAAAAAAAAAAAAAAAAAAAAAAAAAAAAAAAAAAACAATAGACGAAATATTCATCTGCATACATACCCGATTTTCTCCAATGTTGAATATTTGCAGATATGTATGTACCATTATTGTCCATAGAACGGATATGACGCGTAGTCCATGAACACAGGATGTTTGGGTCTGTAAAGGAAAAAAAAAGAGAAAAATATTTAGAAAAGTAAATGTGTGTTTCTTTTCCCGAGTAAATTAGGCAAATGTGTTGGCGAAATTTTATTGAAATTGTATTTTTTATGGTAGCACTAAAATTATATGGGAATTTTGGACAATTTTCTTTTTTGGAATTATGATATGTATAGATTAGGTTCTGTGCGACTTGAATACCAATTAAGGTGAGCTAATAAAGAGATATTGTAAAACCTGCTCAGACGAGGTCATTGGGAGCGTATGATTATTGTCGTGCATCATACGACCCATGTGACATTGTTCAGTCCTATTTTAGTTCGACGACAGAAGTTAATGCTGACTAGAATTTGTGTTGATGCTTTGAAAGTCTCTGGACTCCATTGGGCTAAGAGGAAAATAACTTCTTAGAGATCCTAAAAACAGGGAATTTATTTAATGAACTTCAATTGGCCTATAATGGAATTTCAATGAAATGCCTTAGAGCGTATGATTGATAACAGCAGCCATACGCCATATACTGCAAACTGAAAATATAAAAATTAAACGATTCCTCATTCTAAGGGCCATAATTGAGGCCCTGGTCCGATTTTATGGCTCTAAAACATATTTTCTAGAAGAAAGAGAATCCTATCTTGATGTTAAATAAAATTTTGTAGATATAGCTTAAAAAATGTCGGAAATATATTGCAAAGAGCATCATTACTTAAAATCGAGAGATTTTTGTAAGTTTTGCGCATATCCCTTCCATGAGCCATAACTTCTGAGGTAGGCCATATATTTTTGTGAAATAAACTGAATGTGAAAGCTTGGACCATGGGCTAAATAACATATAACCTAAGCAGGAAACACTGTTTGATAATATTCGAATAAAATTCAAAATAAAATTCAAGTATGCCGAAAAAAACTGCAAATATAAAAATTAAACGATTCCTCCATCTAAGGCCATATTTAAGTTCTTGGTTCGGGTTTATGGATCTAAAATATACTTTCTAGAAGGGAGAAAAACCCATCTTGATGTTAAATAAAGTTTTGTAGATATAGCTTCAAAAAATACCCGAAATATATTACAAAGAACAACATTACTTAAAATCGAGAGATTTTTGCTAGTATTACGTATATCCCTTTCATGAACCATAACATCTGAAGTAGGCCATATATTTTTGTGAAATAAACTGAATTTGAAAGCTTGAAACGTGGTCTAAATAATATACACCCGAAGCAAGCAATAACATTTGATAAGATTCGAATAAAAGTCCAAGGACTAAGCTTGCTTAAAAACCTGAAAATATAAAAAATAAAGGATTCTTCACCCTAAGGGCCATATTTAAGTTCCTGATCCGGCTTTATGGGTCTAAGATATATTTTCTAGAAAAAAAGGGAATCTCGTCTTGATGTTAAGTTAAATTTTGTAGATATAACTTAAAACAAGTAAAAAAACATTAAGTTCGGCCGGGCCAAACTTTTAATACCCTCCACCCTAGGGTAAAAGAACATTAGAAAAAATGTGGCAAAAAACATTAAAATGCGAATATCGGGAGGTACCGTTAAAAAGGGGGCTACACCAACACGTGCACCTATAATTACAATGTTTCGCCACACGACCTAGGACCCATTATGACCCACAAATACCAACTTTTACACAAATCAGTGAAAAAATATGGCATAAATCATCAAAATACCGAATATCGGGAGGTACCGTTATATGGGGACTATACCAGAACGTGGACCTATACATGCAATGTTTTGCTACACGCTCAGGGACCCGTTGTGACCTACAAATACCAATTTTCAGACAAATCCGTGAAAAAATGTGGCATAAATCATCAAAATACCGAATATCGGTAGGTACCATTATATGGGGGCTATACCAAAACGTGGACCTATACATGCAATGTTTTGCCACACGCTCAGGGACCCGTCGTGACCTACAAAAACCAATTTTCAGACAAATCCGTGAAAAAATGTGGCATAAATCATCAAAATACCGAATATCGGTAGGTACCGTTACATGGGGGCTATACCAAAACGTGGACCTATACATGCAATGTTTTGCCACACGCTCAGGGACCCGTCATGACCTACAAATACCAATTTTCAGATAAATCCGTGAAAAAATGTGGCATAAATCATCAAAATACCGAATATCGGGAGGTACCGTTATATGGGGACTATACCAGAACGTGGACCGATATATCTCATTTTCAATACCAACCATCCTAGGGACAATACACACACTTGTGCCAAATTTCAAAGGTCTACGTCAAATAATGTGTGCTCTATCGTGATTTCAACAGACAGACAGACAGACGGACAGACAGACAGACAGACAGACGGACAGACAGACAGACAGACGGACATCGCTAAATCGTCTTAGAAATTTATGCTGATTATGAATATATATACTTTATGGGGTCTACGACGAATATTTAGAGGTGTTACAAACGGAATGACAAAGTTAATATACCCTCCTACCCATGGTGGAGGGTATAAAAATATCAGAAATATACTGCAAAGAAAACCTTTACTGAAAATCGAGACATATTTGCAAGTTTTGCGTATCCCCCTTCCATGGGCTGTAACTTCTTAACCAGGCCACATATTACTGTAAAATAAACTGCATTTAAAAGCATGGATCACGGGCTAAATAATATAGACCATAAGCAAGAAATAATATTTTATAAGAACCGAATAAAATTCAAAGGACCAAGTATGCTGAAAAAAAAAAACTGAAAATATAAAAATTGAATGCATCCTCTTTTAAGGGTCACATTGTAGCTTCCCGACCAGCTGTGTGCATGGAATTCATATTTTCTGGAATGTAGAGAGCCTAAGCTCAATAATAAAAACAAATTGTAGACTTACTTTAATAAATACACGTGATATACTGAAATAAACACATGTTCCCAAAAGCGGCAAATTTTTGGCTATTTTGCGTAACCATCAACCCATAGACCAATAATTCCGGATTTTTAGAGAAGTTTAAAGCGAATGGTTTTGTATTTTTAAAAAAAAAAACATTTTTGGAAGATCCTTCGGCCTCTGTCCGTGTTTTTGCTTAACTATTTTGAATACATTTTGGAATTTCTTTAAAATCAAATAAATAAAGTGCTTTGGTGCGTATTATTGACAACAATAGTAATACGCCCCAAGGGACCAGGAGTAATTTGATCATATATTCAAAACAAATTGAAAATTTCCAAAGAAAATTATTTTTTTGAGGAACCCACAGATCAATTTTTCGGGATTTTTAGAGAACTTTAAGCCAATAGTTTTGTATTAAAAAAAAGCTTATTTTGGAAGATCCTTAGGCCTCTGTCCAAAATATTTTGAATAAATTTTAGAATTTCTTTAAAGTCAAAAATATAGTGCTTTGGTGCGTATTATAGACAACAATAGTAATACGCCCCAAGGGGTCAGGAGTAATTTGATCAGATATTCAGAACAAAATACAAATTTCAAAAAAAAAAAAAAAAAAAAAAAAAAAAAAAAATGGGGAACCCATTGACCAATGTTTCCGGATTTTTACAGAAATTTAAGGCCAATGGCTGTGTATTTAAAAAACAGATTATGGATGATCCTTAGGCCCTTGTCCGCGTTTTTTACAAAATATTTTGAATACATTTTAGAATTTCTTTAAATATATATAATATTAAATATAATATATTGCTCAGTACAGTGCTTTGGTACGTATTATTGACAAAAATAGTAATACGCCCATAGGGACCAGGAGTGATTTGATGAGATATTCAGAAAAAATTGAAAGTTTCAAAAGAAAATTATTTTTTTTTGGGAAACCCATAGTTCAATGATTCTGAATTCTTAGAGAACTTTAAGGCCAATGGTTTTGTATTTTAAAAAAACATTTTTGGAAGATCCTCAGGTCCTTGTCCGCGCTTTTTTTAACAAAATATTTTGAATAAATTTTAGAATTTCTTTAAAGTCAAAAATATAGTGCTTTGGTGCGTATTATTGACAACAATAGCAATACGCCCCAAGGGACCTGGTGTAATTTGATCAGATAATCAGAAGAAATTACAAATTTCAAAAAAAAAAAAAAAAAAAAAAAAAACGAGGGAAAAATGGGGGACCCATAGACCAATGTTTCCGAATTTTTAGAGAAATTTATGGCCAGTTTAAAAAACAGTTTTGGCCCTTAGGCCCTTGTCCGTGTTTTTTTTTACCAAAATATTTTAAATAAATTTTAGAATTTCTTCGAGTAAAAAAATATATTTTTAAATAGAGTGCTTTGGTGTGTATTATAGACAACAATAGTAATACGCCCCAAAGGACCAGGAGTGATTTGATGAGATATTCAGAACAAATAACAAATTTAAAAAAAAATTGGGCAACCCATAGACCAATTATTCCGGATTTTTAGAGGACCTTACGGCCAATGGTTACGTATTTAAAATAAACTTTTTTTGGAAGATCCTTAGGCCTTTGTCCGTATTTTTTTTAACAAAATATTGGGCAACCCATAGACCAATTATTCCGGATTTTTAGAGGACCTTACGGCCAATGGTTACGTATTTAAAATAAACTTTTTTTGGAAGATCCTTAGGCCTTTGTCCGTATTTTTTTTAACAAAATATTTTGAATAAATTTTAGAATTTTTTTGAAGTCAATAAATATATTGCTCAATATAGTGCTTTGGTGCGTATTATTGACAACAATAGTAATACGCCCCAAGGAACCAGGAGTAATTGATCAAATATTCAGAACAAATTGAAAGTTTCAAAAGAAAATAATTTTTTTTGGGAAACTCAAAGACCAATTTTTCGGAATTTTTAGAGAATGGTTTTGTTTAAAAAAAAAAACATTTTTGGAAGATCCTTAGGCCAAGAGTAATTTGATCAGATATTCCGAACAAATTACAAAAAAGAAAAAAAAACATTTTGAAAGATCCTTAGGCCTCTGTCCGTATTTTGTTAACAAAATATTTTGAATCAATTTTAGAATTTCTCTAAAATCGATAAATATACTTTGGTGCTTTGGTGCGTATTATTGATAACAATAGTAATACGCCCCAAGGGACCAGAAGTGATTTGATCAAATATTTCGAAAAAATGAAAATTAAAAAAAAAAACTCTACCCACCTCCTTGGCCTCATCCACATTCAAAATGCTGGTGGCATTCGTTTGAAATGCAAAACACAATAAGACCTGTTCATGGAAACCTAAAAAAAAAATACCAAAAAAAAAAAAACGAATCAATTTTTATGCTCAATAAAGAATTTGTGTCCATATTTACCCAACTGCTGTTTGGCCTCATAGGTTTCCGTGGCTCCAGCATTGCTGGTGGTCTCTATGCGATATTCACTGTCATGTGGGGTATGTCTGCCATTATTGCTGCCATTTGTGTTACCTGCTGCTACCTCCGAATTTCTATTGGAATTAATATCTAAATCCTGTTGGCCATTCGAATAGGGCGATTTTTTGCCATTAACATCACCGGCTGCCGGTGCCTCCAAAGGGTTTCCGTTATTATTGTCATTCAACGAGGACATTTGATACAATTCAAAGGATTTGCCATTATCCGAAGAGGGCGAGATGTGCTGCATATTTGCCGAGTCAACCTTAGAGCCGCTTATCACCGCAATATTGGGATGTTTGAGATATTGCTCATTCAAATGGGACTGATACCAGGTGGCGGCTATTATCAGGACAATCAAGGTCAAAAGGAAGCTCCTGGAAATGGAAAGAGGATTTTATGTTTTTTTTTTTAATTAAAAAAAAATGTGATATTTTCTGAACTCACGCAAATATCTGAAACTTCAGCTCCCGCCAATAGCTATACAATCCCGGCACCGTCCTGACCCTCATGATTTTCACCATCGCCATTTGTGTGTGATTTAGCGTGCTCAACATATTGGCATGTGGATCCAGTTCCAACAAATGCTGGACATCCTGGGCCGTACAGGATTTCGGCAAACACTCACCAATTTGTAAATTAGCCACAAACTTTTCGGGCAGCTGTAATCTGAAGGCAATCAGGGCCACATAGAATTCAAATTCGAAATGTTTGCGTTTTTCAGGATCCAGCTGGCGATTGAGTTCATAGCAGAATTGTCGTTGACCCAGCCATTTGTCATTGCCAAACAATAGCTGGCCTCGATAACGGGCAGAGGCATCATAGGCTGTTAAAAGAAAAGAATAAAAAATTGAAAAAAAAATGATGGCAAAGAATTCCAAATTTCCACTTCAGTGAGTTTCTCTTGGGTTTTAAAGAAAAAAAAAATTCCTAAATCGAATTATATGCCTCATTTCCATTTAATGTTGCTCTGTCTGTTGTTCGGATTTTTTTTTTAACTGCCAGCCATTGTCTTGTCCATTGAAGCGTAGTAATTGTCTTGTTATAAGCCGCAAACTATTAATTGACCGTTAAATGTATTGTCTTTTGGTTGCGAATTGTGCCAACTGAAAGATAGGCAGGAGAGAGAGAGAGAGAGAGAGAGCGAGAAACTGCTGATGATTGAAAAGCCACCACGAAGTAATGAAGCGGAAATAATTACTGGGATTTAAACAAATAAATTATGAAGACAATGGGAAAAATCACAAAACTGAAAATATAAAAATCATCACTGATTGAAAAAATTATATTTGAGATTTTCAGGGTCAACAAGGAATTCAAAAATAAATTTTGGGAAAAATTTGAATGAAATAATAGACCACTTTGAAATTCATTGGTGAAATTCTCAACAATAACTTGTTGGCATATTTCAAGTATTTTAAGAGACAACTTTTTATAATTTTTTGTCAATTTAAATTTCAGATGTTCCTCTGACAAAATCTAAACGATTTGTTAAGAAACTTTCAGATATTTACCTGATTATGAACCTTTCAAGTAAAAGCGGATTATTTCATATGAAAAATTGGATTTTTGCGTCAATGGTTCCTAAAATTTTAAAAAATTATCTACAAGAAATTTCTCACTGATGTAAGGCCTGAATCAAGCTTAGGAATTCTTGTTTCAAATAAAATTTATTTCACTCAAATCCCTTAGACCATTCCAAAGTTATGGGCACTTAAATACGGTTCCGAAAAAAATTCATTATGAGTAGAAAAATGTGCTTTACATAAAAATGGTGCCATATCTCCAGTATTTAAGTGGCACCAAAACATAATTTGTTGTACATTTGAAGATCAGATACTCCTCCGGTAAAATCTTAACGATTTTGTTGGAGACTTTCAAGAATTGGTCAGATTGTGAACCTTTCAAATGAAATCCTATTTTCTCATATGAAAATTTGATTTTTGCGTCAATGGTTCCTAAAATTTTTAAAACAAGTTCTATGAGGAATTTTTCTCTGAATTTGCACCTAAGTAAAGTTTAGGATTTCTAGTTTCAAATAAAATTTATTCCACCTAAATCCCCTAGACCGTTCAAAAGTTATAAACACTTCAACATGATTACGAAAAAATTCATAAAAGTAGGAAATTGAGTGAAAAGATTCTGATTTTTTTTTTTAAATTAAAAAGGAAATAACAGAATAAGTAAATAAATTGAACTGGACGAAGAAATCGCATCGAAAATTGTGTTCTAATATCTCCCTGCGAAATATGTAGAGGCGTATAAATAACGATATTACTCATACGCCCCATCCAAAAAATCATTAAAAATCGGGCAGACATTGTGTTCTTAAATATCTGAACGCAATATGTGAAAGCGTATAATTGACGATAGTACTCATACGGCCCTCTGCCTTAATAAAATCCTAAAAAGTAGAGGGAAATCTTAGAAAAAAAAAAAATAAATAAAAAGTCGTTAAAAGGTATTGAAAAAAATCCAGAGAGGACCAAATTGAAATCAATTTTTTCTAATGGCCTTTCGTTGTGTAAGGGGAGTATCATTCGCCAGAGATTCTAAAAAAAGTGGAATTTGTTTAATAAATGTTTAATAAACAGCGAAATTCCATCAAGCGTATGATTAACGGCAATACTCATACGCCCCATAGAAATTAGTTGAAAATTGGGTAATATCTTTGAACTTTTGAAAATTCTTAGGGAAATATACGAATAAATGGGTAAATTGGACTTGAGGAGGAAATCGAATCGGAAATTGGGTTTTAATATTTCCCGACGTAATATATTGAAGCGTATAATTGACGACAGTACTCATACGCCCCATTTCCAAAAATAAATAATTAAAAATAGGGGGGGGTATCTTAAAAAAAAAAAAATAAATAAATAAAATAAATAAATAAATAAAATAAATAAATAAATAAAAAATTAACGTATTTTAGAAACAAATCGTTTGAAATTAAAATCAAAATTAATTCACAATTTTCCTTATGGTCTGCAAACCTTTGAAATTCGTTTGGTAAGGGAAGAATCACTCGCCAGAAACTCTCGAAAAAAAATAAGTTTTTTTTTAATACATTGTCATTGTCTTGCTTTTAAATTCCATCGGCAGTTATTGGAGCGTATAATTGACGGCAGTACTCATACGCCCCATTTCCAAAAATAAAATCATTAAAATAGGGGGATATCTTAGATAAATTTATAAAAACGGCGTATTTGTTAGAAAAATAATCCTTGAAGGGTCTTAAAATAATTTTAAAAGAAAAGACCAATGAAACAATTTTAAAAGAAAATACGAAATTAAAATCAATGCCAATAGCAATTTTCCCCATGGTTTGCAGGTCTTTGGAATTCGTTGGTGAAGGGAGAATCATTCGCCAGAGTCTACCTAAAACAAGACATTTATTTAATATACTGTCATTGTCCAGCTGGGAAAATCTATGAAAAAATCTGGAAGCGTATGATTGACGACAATACTCATACGCTCTATAGAAGTTAGTTGAAAATGGGGTAATATTTATGAAAATTGATCTACGAAGAAATCAAATTGAAAATTGTTTTCTTTTATTTTCGAACGCAATAAGTGAAAGCGTATAATTGACGAGGGTACTCATAAACTCTCTCACCAGAAACTCTCAAAAAAAAAAAACAAGTATTTTTTTTAAATAAATTGTCATTGTCTTGCTTTTAAATTCCATAGGCAATTATTGGAGCGTATAATTGACGACAGTACTCATACGCCCCATTTCCAATATTAAATCATAATAAAATGGGGGGATATTTTAAATAAATTGATAAAAAAGGCGTACTTGTTAGAAAATAATCCTTGAAGGGTCTTGAAACTGAATTTTAAAAGAAAATACCAAATTAAAATTGAATGCAAACTGAAAATTTTTCCCAATGGTTTGCAGGTCTTTGGAATTCGTTGATAAAGAGAGAATCATTCGCCATACTCTTCCTAAAACAAGACATTTATTTAATATACTGTCATTGTCCTGCCGTGAAATTACATGGAAAATTCTGGAAGCGTATGATTAACGACAATACTCATACGCTCTATAGAAGTTAGTTGAAAATGGGGTAATATTTATGAAAATTGATCTACGAAGAAATCAAATTGAAAATTGTTTTCTTTTATTTTCGAACGCAATAAGTGAAAGCGTATAATTGACGAGGGTACTCATACGCCTCCTACCAAAAATAAAATAATTAAAAATTGGGGTATATCAGAGAAAAAATTATTAATAAAAAGGTGTATATATCAAAGAAAAATAAATAAAATAAAATAAAATAAATAAATAAAATAAAAAATAAATTAAAAAAGGAACGTATTTTAGAAACAAATTGTATCAAATTCAAATCAAAATTAATTCAAAATTTTCCTAATGGTCTGCAATCTTTTGAAATTCGTTTGGTAAGGGAAGAATCACTCACGAGAAACTCTCAAAAAAAAAAAAAAAAAAAAAAAAAAACAAGTATTTTTTTTAAATAAATTGTCATTGTCTTGCTTTTAAATTCCATAGGCAATTATTGGAGCGTATAATTGACGACAGTACTCATACGCCCCATTTCCAATATTAAATCATAATAAATAGGGGGGATATTTTAGATAAATTGATAAAAAAAGGCGTATTTGTTAGAAAATAATCCTTGAAGGGTCTTGAAACTGAATTTTAAAAGAAAATACAAAATTAAAATTGAATGCAAACTGAAAAATTTTCCCAATGGTTTGCAGGTCTTTGGAATTCGTTGGTAAAGGGAGAATCATTCGCCGTGGTCTCCCTAAAACAAGACATTTATTTAATATACTGTCATTGTCCTGCTGTGAAAATCCATGGAAAAATCTGGAAGCGTATGATTGACGACAATACTCATACGCACCAAAGAAGTTTGTTGAAAATGGGGTAATAAATATGAAAATTGATCTACGAAGAAATCAAATTGAAAATTGTTTTCTTTTATTTTCGAACGCAATATGTGAAAGCGTATAATTGACGAGGGTACTCATACGCCTCCTACCAAAAATAAAATAATTAAAAATTGGGGTATATCAGAGAAAAAATTATTAATAAAAAGGTGTATATATCAAAGAAAAATAAATAAAATAAAATAAAATAAAATAAAATAAAATAAATAAATAAAATAAAAAATAAATTAAAAAAGGAACGTATTTTAGAAACAAATTGTATCAAATTCAAATCAAAATTAATTCAAAATTTTCCTAATGGTCTGCAATCTTTTGAAATTCGTTTGGTAAGGGAAGAATCACTCACGAGAAACTCTCAAAAAAAAAAAAAAAAAAAAAAAACAAGTATTTTTTTTAAATAAATTGTCATTGTCTTGCTTTTAAATTCCATAGGCAATTATTGGAGCGTATAATTGACGACAGTACTCATACGCCCCATTTCCAATATTAAATCATAATAAATAGGGGGGATATTTTAGATAAATTGATAAAAAAAGGCGTATTTGTTAGAAAATAATCCTTGAAGGGTCTTGAAACTGAATTTTAAAAGAAAATACCAAATTAAAATTGAATGCAAACTGAAAAATTTTCCCAATGGTTTGCAGGTCTTTGGAATTCGTTGGTAAAGGGAGAATCATTCGCCGTGGTCTCCCTAAAACAAGACATTTATTTAATATACTGTCATTGTCCTGCTGTGAAAATCCATGGAAAAATCTGGAAGCGTATGATTGACGACAATACTCATACGCACCAAAGAAGTTTGTTGAAAATGGGGTAATAAATATGAAAATTGATCTACGAAGAAATCAAATTGAAAATTGTTTTCTTTTATTTTCGAACGCAATATGTGAAAGCGTATAATTGACGAGAGTACTCAGACGCTTCCTAACAAAAATAAAATCATTAAAAATTGGGGTATATCTGAGAAAAAAATTAATTAAACAAAACATCAAAAACGAAACAAAACAAAAAACCCAAACAAAAAAAAAATTCGTTAATGGTTTTGAAAAAAAATTAATAGAAAAACAAATTTAAAAAAAGTGAAAAAGCTGTAAGTTTGGCCGAATACCCTCCATCATTGAGAACGCATTTGCAATAATAATATTCTGATGCGAAACTTGAAAAAAAATCGGTGAAAATGTTGCTGAAACGATCAAAATATCGGGAGGGATCGTTATATGAGGGCTATACGAAAGCGTGGACCTGCATAGACAATTTTCTGTCATAAGCTCTAGTATCCATTTCGAGCTTCAAGTACCAAATTTGAAACAATTCCGATGAATAATGTCGCTAAAATCATCAAAATACCGAATATCGGGAGGTACCCTTATATGGGAGCTATACGAAGACGTGAACCTGTACAGATAATTTTCTGTCTTAGGCTGTAGTATCCATTACGAACTTCAAATGCCAAATTTGAAACAATTCTGGTGAATAATGTCACTAAAATCATCAAAATACCGAATATCGGGAGGTACGGCTATATGGGAGCTATACGAAAACGTGGACCTGCACAGACAATTTTCTGTCATAGGATGTAGTATTTATTACGAACTTCAAATACCAAATTTGAAACAATTCCGGTAAATAATGTCGCCAAAATCATCAAAATACCGAATATCGGGAGGTACGGCTATATGGGAGCTATACGAAGACGTGAACCTGTACAGATAATTTTCTGTCTTAGGCTGTAGTATCCATTAGGAACTTCAAATGCCAAATTCGAAACAATTCCGATGAATAATGTCGCTAAAATCATCAAAATAACGAATATCGGGAGGTACCCTTATATGGGAGCTATACGAAGACGTGAACCTGTACAGATAATTTTCTGTCTTAGGCTGTAGTATCCATTAGGAACTTCAAATGCCAAATTTGGAACGATTCCGTTAAATAATGTCGCTAAAATCATCAAAATACCGAATATCGGGGGGTACCCTTATATGGGAGCTATATGAAGACGTGGAAGTACATAACCCATTGTCAATACCAAAAGTCCTGCAGACATAATATACATTTGAGTAAAATTTTATCGACCTACTTCATTTCGTTCGGAAGCTAATTCGTGCCAAAGGTGACCAATTCGAACAAATCTAAACTTATTCTAAAATTTGATGCTATTTCCGACAATTTTTGTCGGAACTAAGAGAAATTTGGGAAAAAGAGGTTAAACTTGAATTCATGACACACAAAGTGGCGCCCAACATTGGCTTAAAAAAGATATGTGGGTGTACCGAATTTTGTATGTGGGAAAATAACACATATTTTGAATCGATTTTTTAAAATTGGCGCCCAACGTGGGATTTGCTGAGATATAGTATTTTTGGGTTTCCGTATTGCTAATGATTTTATTTTTTCATTGTTTTTCAATCTAAATACATTTTCGTTGTTAACAAAAATAATTTTTGAATTGGCGCCCAGTTTGGGTTTCCTGATTGTTAAAAATAGAAATCATTTTCATGACCGATTTTCTGTTCCAAATGAATGCTTCTTCTTTTAAAAAGGAAAAAAATCTTTAGAAGGAAATAAATACATCTTTGTGCCATAAGGGACAAAGTGGCGCCCAACGTGGTTTTTATAAATTGATTTTATTTCTGGGCATATTTTGGTTATTAAAATTATTTTGTTTGTCATGAGGACCCTAGGGATCAGTCAATCTACGACTTTGGTCCTCAAATTATTGGAATTTGCGTCTAGTCTAATTTTTCGTGATCTGTAGCAAAAAATTAGTCTTTCAAACCAAAATGTAATCTCTGTTATCTGAAATATAATCTCTACTCACCCGCTTGGGCCCATCGATAATTGCCATGCAGCGCTGTGAGGTAGGCCTGCACCTCCAGACCACAACCGGTGGAGACCTTGTTTCTAATATCCGATGGCTGCCAATAGAAGTGATCGTAGAGATTCGTTATGATCTGGAAGACATTGGCCAATTGCAGACTTTCCGCAGACTGATTATTGCCCCCAGTCGTATCCGCTGGTGTCAAATAATGATTGAGGCTGTTGTGGTTATTCAACTGGCCCTTGGGGTGCAGGTCATCATGCTTTAGAAGCTCTCTGCCTTTTTTGTTGGATTTCATTTTGAAAAGTTTCAAAATATGCGGACTAACAATTGTTGTGGAGGAATATTCCGGGGAGGCGCTAGTACCAGGTGTTGTTGTTGTAGAGATATCAAGAGAGCCTACTTGCTTCTCTGGCGTAGTTGTGGTTGTGACAATATCCACCTGGACGGATAGATCATCTTGCAAAGTTTCCGAATCGGGTATCTTGACATCTTCGCTGTAGGTTAGGGTTGGACCCACCTGAACATTTGCCGCCTCAGTATCTCTGAGTAATAACTTCTCCTCGGCACTTAAATCCTTTTTCTTGAAATTCTCATGTTCCAGATCCTCCAAATCGCCCAAATTGAAATCAAATACCACCGGATGTAAATCGACCTCCTTAATGGGCTTGGGTTTCTCATGGGAATTTGTCGGTTTTTCCAGTGGCAAATAGGGTTTCTTTTTCGAGTTCTTCAGGGGTAAAACATCTGGATTTGGCGGCTTATCCTTTTTCGTGGAAAATCCCTCCTCGTGTACCTCATGGAGTATGGTAATATTGGGATTGTGTGGATGTTGGACAATTTCATCATTGAGCAGGGTGAGATTTGTTGTTGTACCGACAGGGAGTTGACTTAAGATGAAAACTAGATGTAGTATTAAACCGAGTAATTGGAAGTTCCACATTTTGAGGGCCGCTATTAGAGACATATTTTTACTGATTTTTGTTTTTTTTTTTTTTTTTGGTAAGTATTTTATTTTTTGTTTTTAAGTGAAATATTTTTTTTGTTTAAATATTATTTCATTTTCAAAATGTCCATGGTTATCTCCAATATAGCAGTAGCTTGTTCATATCTGGAATTTTATTACTTCTTAGTTGGATTTTTTATTAAAAAAAATTTATTGAAATTGATGATCGCATGCGCTTTCTGTATTTGGAAAAAATAAAAAAAAATTATTTGTTAGTTGAAACACCTGAAAAATAAATAGATATTAAAGTACGACAGTGGCGCCCAACGTGGGGTTGCAAGTTAAAATTCAGGTTTGATGATATTTGTTCCTTCATAGAAAACTATACAAATCGGGAATCTGAATCAGGACGACATAAACTATTTTGTACGTTTAAATTGGCGCCCAACGTGGAACTAACTCATTTTTTGTTTGTATTTATGTAGATGGCTATATGTCTCTGTGGATGTATTTGCTAAAGTTCGCGCCATGTTCGCGCTACCTTGTTTCGACACTTCTCTTCAATATTATTATTTACAAGGACCTGGTCACCAATAAACTTGGATTTTGTACAGAATTTTTTTCAAGGACAAAATGTGGATTTCTGCGGAATTTTTTCAAGGACTAAACGTGGATTTTTTTGAATTTCTTGAAGAATTTTTTTCAAGGACAATTAGACGTGGATTTTTTAAAGAATTTTTTCAAGGACCATCGGACTTGGATTTTTTTAAGGATTTTTTTCAAGGACCATCAGACGTGGATTTTTAATTTTTTTTTTTCAAGGACCATCAGACTTGGATTTTTTTAAAATAATTTTTTTTAAGGACACTCGGACTTTATTCATGGACCAAACGTGGATTTTTTAAAGATTTTTTTTCAAGGACCATCGGACGTGGATTTTTTAAAGAATTTATATCAAGGACCATTAGACGTGGATGTTTTAAAAAAAATATTTCAAGGACCATCAGAGTTGTTTTTTTTTAATTTTTTTTTTTTCAAAGACCATCAGACTTAATTTTTTTAAAAATTTTTTTCAAGAACCAAAAGTGGATTGTTCAAAGATTTTTTTTCAAGGACTAAACGTGGATTTTTTAAAGAATTTTTTTTTCAAGGAACATTAGACGTGGATTTTTTAATTAATTTTTTCAAAAACCATTAGACGTGGATTTTTTATAGAATTTTTTCAAAGACCATTAGACGTGGATTTTTTAAAGAATTTTTTTTAAGGACCACCAGACGTGGATTTTTTAAAGAATTTTTTTCTAGGACCATCAGACGAGGATTTTTAAAGAAATTTTTTGTAGAACCATCAGACGTGGGTTTTTTAAAAATTTTTTTCTAGGACCATCAGACGTGGATTTTTTAAAATTTTTTTGTAGAACCATCAGACGTGGATTTTTTAAAATTTTTTTGTAGAACCATCAGACGTGTATTTTTTAAAGATTTTTTTTTTCAGGGACTAAACGTCATTTTTTTTGAAGAATTTTTTTTTCAAGGACCAAACGTGGATTTTTTAAAGAATTTTTTTTTCAAGGACCAAACGTGGATTTTTTTAAATTTTTTTTTCAAGGACCAAACGTGGATTTTTTAAAGAATTTTGTTGAAGGACCAAACGTGGATTTTTTTAAGATTTTTTAAAGGATCAAACGTGGATTTTTTTAAGATTTTTTAAAGGATCAGACGTGGATTTTTTAAAGAATTTTTTTCAAGGACAATCAGACGTGGATTTTTTAAAGAATTTTTTTCAAGGACCAAACGTGGATTTTTTTTAATAATTTTTTTTCAAGGACCAAACGTGGATTTTTTAATGAATTTTTTTTCAAGGACCAAACGTGGATTTTTTTAAATGAATTTTTTTCAAGGACTATCAGATTTTGAATTATTTTCTGAAGGACCAAATCCACGTTTGGATTTGGAAGTTTTTTTCAAGGACCGTCATACGTGGATTTTTAAAAAATTTGTTTAAAAGACTAAACGTGGATTTTTTAAAAAATTTGTTTAAAAGACTAAACGTGGATTTTTTCAAGGAACATCAGACGTGGATTTTTTAAAGAATTTTTTACAAGGACCAAAAGTGGATTTTTGAAAATTTTTTTAAAGAACCAAACGTGGATTTTTTATGATTTTTTTAAATTTTTTTTGTTTCAAGGACTGAACGTGGATTTTTATTGAATTTTTGTTTCAAGGACTAAAAGTGGATTTTTTTTAACAAATTTTTTAAAGGACTAAAAGTTGATTTTTGACTGACTAAATGTGTCTTTTTTGGAGAAATTTTCAAAGGATTTGAAAATGATTTTTAAATTAATTTTTTTAGTTTTAAATTAATTTATTGAACGACTAAACGTGGATTTTTTCAAGGACTAAACTTCGTTTTTTTAAAGAAATTTTTCAAGAGTAAACGTGGACTTTTAAAGTTTTTTTTTTTTTTTTTTTGACGGATTATATCGTTAAGACGTGGAGAGATTTGTTTGGAGGACTATCAGATTTGGATTTTTTAAATAATTTTTCTTTGGAGAGAATTGTTTTAACCAGAAAACGTTGACTTTCTAAAATTTTTTTTGAAGGACTATCAGATCAGAAAACGTAGACTTTTTAAGGATTTTTTTTGAAGGAGTATCAGAAACGTGGACTTTTTAAAGATTTTTTGAAGGGTTATCAGATCAGAAAACGTGAAAGAAAGAAATTAAAGAATTTTTGAAGGACCAATAGATCGTAAGACATTGAGGTATTTAGAGATATTTTCAAGGACCATCAGACCATCAAACGTAGATTTTTAAAGTTTTTTATGGAACTTCAGACCAATAAACGTGGATTTCTAAAGCATTTTTCTGAAGGACCTTTTGACCAATGAACTTTAATTTTTAACGATTTTTTTCAAGAATATGTTGACCAATAAACGTCAAGAATATTTTAAAGGATCAAACGTAAATTTTTTAAAGGACAAACATGGATTTTTAATGGACCAAATGTGGAAAAAAGAAAATTTCCCAAGGACCTAGAAAATTTCTCAAGGACCTATTGACTAACAAACGTAGATTTTTACAGAATTCTTAAGGACCCGAAGACTTATACGCGTGGATTTTTAAAGAATTTCTTCAAGGACCTGGTGACCAATAAGCATATTTTTTTTAATATTTTTTTCAAGGACCTATTGACCAATAAACGTAGATTTTTAAAGGAGTTTTCTCAAGGACCTGTTGACCAATATACGTTAATTTTTGAAGAATTATTATTAAGGACCTGTGGACCAAGAAACGTGAATTTTAAAGAAATTTTCTCAAGGACCCGAAGACTAATTAACGTGGATTTTTAAAGAATTGTTCTTAAGGACCCGGAGACTAATACATGTGAATTCTTAATGTATTTTTTCAAGCACCTGTTGACCAATAAGAGCGATTTTTTAAGAAATTTTTTTCAACGAACTGATGACCAATAATCGTGACGTTTTTCGAGGACCTGTTGATCAATATATGCGGATTTTTTTTAAAAATTTATGTTTCAAGGACCAGTTGTGAATAAATGTGGATTTTTTCAAACATTTATTTTTCAAGGACCGGTTTCAAACAATTTTTCCAAGGGACCTTGAGACCAACAAACAGGATTTTCTCAAAACAAGATGTTTTCAGGAATCTTCTAAAAAATTGTAGGCAGTTTTTGAAGGTCCGGTTGGTTCTGTAGAACAGTGAAGAACATTTTTAAAAAATTTTATTTTTCGGATTTAAATTTAGATAACATTTATTTTGTAGAACAATTGAGACTTTTTTATATGGAAGCCCTTTATTAGGTCTTCCATTTTTCCGCTCAAATTCATTTCATTATCACCAGCATTTTCAAAACACTTCCTGGTTTGTTTTTTGTTTTTGCACGCATTTTTATGGTATTTCATTATCCGGTACTGGTTTTGTTTTTTTTTTCTACCACTTCTTCTTTGCTTGGCTTCCTGATGGTGTCCGACAAAATCTATTAATGCAAACCTGACCTAAAATAACCTGTTGTTGTTGTTTTCGAATTTTTTTATTCAAAAAAAAAAAAAAAAAAAAAAAAAACTTGAAATTGCGTAACATTAATGGTCGCGTAAAGTGGAAAAACAATGAAAATGTCATGAAAACGCATCACTTTGGTGTTTTCATTTCGCTTGTTTTACTTTCTTTCGTTTCTTGTCACTTTTTGTTACTTGGGTTTTGTTTTTTTTACTCCTTGATTTTCCATTCATTGTTTGTTGCTTTGTGTTGTTGTATGTTTGGGTCTTGACATTAATTTCCATTTAACTTGTTTTCTTTTGAAATTGTCTCCCCTGATTATCAGGGAGTGGAGGATAGGGGGTCTTCTTTTGTTTACCTTTAATCACTGATACTTCAGATCCGTTGAAATCAATTGTCGGTGTTGATTTTTGTTTTGTTATTGTTTCCACTTTCTTTCGGGTCGATTGTCTCATTAACACCAATGACAGGTGAATGATAAAATTCGAATTCGTTGATGGATGATTTGGAATTGATGGAGGGGACATAGGAGATAATAGATGACCTCTGAAAAATATTTGTTTTTATCCACGTTTATGGCTGACCTTTTAAAAATATTTTTTAAGAAATCCACTTCTATGCCTGACTTGGAAAAATATTTTTTTAAAAAATCTACGTTTATGGATGACTTTATAAAATATTGTTTTTAAATCCACGTTTAAGGATGACTTTATAAAAATATTTTTTTAAAAATCTACGTTTATGGATGACTTTATAAAAACATTTTTTAATAAATCCACATTTATGGAAGACCTCTTAAAACTATTTTTTAAAAAATCCGCGTTCATGGATGACCTCTAAAAATATATTTTTTTTAAATCCACGTTTATGGATGACCTTTTAAAAGTATTTTATTAAAAATCCATGTTTTATGGAAGACTTTATTAAAATATTTTTTAAAAAATCTACGTTTATGGATGACTTTATAAAAATATTTTTTAAGAAATCCACTTCTATGCCTGA